AACGCAAACGCGAGCGTGAGCTCGATGGAGTCTATAACCTGTTCCGATGATTCCAGCCGGATGATCTTCACAACCGTTACCGTTCGCTCTGCCGAGCATAATTTACGTTCTACGCGCTGTCGACTATCATACACGGGACATAGGCCATTAAAAGAGAAGCTATGTCAGTACCAATACAAATATAACATTAAAGATCAAGAGATATTTAAAAAAAAAAAAACATTTAAATTGACGATTGAAAAAGATTAAGATTTGTTTGTAATTTAATTTTTTTTTTAATAATGGAGGTTTTCATGTTATTTTTCTTTTCAGAAAAGTAGTTTAATCGATCAACAAGTCAAGAATTGTTTTTCATCCTTTTCTTTAATTTTGCAACGTTAACTGTTTATTGATTCAAAGTGAGAAATGAAACGCGAGAAATGAAAGTTATTGCGGGTACTCCACTTTCCGGAATAATGCTCCGCAAGGAGTAATAACGTCTAGTAAGACTCGGCTGGTTGCAATTTTCTTCGCGCAACCGGGCGCAATAATTGTTTCGCATCAAATGACCGATCTAAGAAAAACTCTCACCTGGATAACCCTCGGGGATGACGATCTCCGGTCCCACCTTGACGTCATGCCGGTACCGGTGCATCAGCAGGCTCGCCGTGACTCTCAGCGATCGTTGTTGCTGCTTGTACAGGAGCACGGGCCTGCCGCCAGTACCCTCGAGTCTGACGACCCTCGGTAAGGAGAATCGATCCAGAAACTCCCGCAGCGGCATGTATCCGCCGCCGGAACCGGAACCACCCTCGGCGGTGGCCTCCCTCGAACTCGGCAGGGATTTGGGCAGCGAAGGCACCTCCTCGCTCGACATCGTCGAGAATTCGCCGTTCGACGACATGATCTCACACATTTCAGAACAGCGTGCGAACGATTTTGGAAAACATCGAGATGAACAACACGCAGTTGTCGAACAAGCCGGCGCGACGTGGCTGATCACGAGCGAGATCACGGTCGGTCCCTTTCAGGATGACGCCTGGGAGCTTGAGAGCTTAGCGTCACTTAATCCCCCGTGGTGGCGGAGCGAGCACGACGCGCGTTTGCTTTCGAAGGCATCTTTGCTCCCCCCTCGGCACTCGCTCATTACCGGTTAATAACGGGCTCGCGCTGGCACTTTCTTCTTCAATTATGTCACTCCGCTGCGACTGCCTGGCGGCCGTCACTTTCCGTTTCGCGGCGCGATGATAGTGACATTAACCCTCTCACCGCCGAGTTATTTTCGATACTCTGTGAGCGCGTCGGGAATTCCTCTCGCGTAAAATTGCTACGCTGCGAGAAAGGGAGGGAGACGAAATTATACACACGAAGGGTTAAGTAACCGTCGTCTTCTCGTGTATCTCGAACGAAAATCGATTCTCCTTATCGAATGGCGTAAAATTGATTTGCGATGAAAATTGCCCCACGGGAAGGGGGCTCGTTGATCTCGGTCCCGCGGTTATAAACAATACGTAAAACTCCGTTCACTAGCCACTAAACTGTTGCCCGGAGCAACAGCGCGTAGTGAGAGATCGAGGATCACGAAACACCGTCGACGATACACCGTGTCGAACGATCGTTCCTGCGAGTCGGCGGCACTGTCAAGGCGATCGGCGTCGATCCGCTCGCGGGTTTGCCATTTTCCGCGTTACACTTTTCACACATGCGGTGGATCATCTCCTCCCGCGGTTGATCGAGGGCGGTAGCGCAAACGCGTTACGGCAAAACTATCACGATCTATCGATAGTATCCTCGACGGTAAACACCGCTGCGGAGAACGAGCGCGGCCAGGCAACGCATCTCGTAACAGCCTTAGACTATTACGATCTACCGGCGGTGTAACCGGCGATGATCACTTGCGAGCGAGGAGACTGGAGGAAGGTCTACGCACACGTAAGGCCGACGTATCTTCTTACGGATGGAAGCTATCAGGATCTATCGACGCTATCCGCGATGGCGAAAGCGAGAGACGTACGATGAAGACCGTCTCTCCACGCGTGGCCGAGGTACTTTTCCGGACGTCCTGTTCTCGATGATGAACGATGAACCGGCTCCTTCTTCCGGGCTGTTTCGTTTTCGAGCGTTGCCAAGGCGTCCGAGGATGGATGGATCCGATGGACGTGCGATCGAACGATGGATCCCGTCGGTTAGCCGAGCCGCTGCTTCTCTCTCTCTCTCT